AGGAGGCGGCGGGGAGGGCCCGAAGCCGAGCGGGGAACCAGTGCCACATCCCACAGCGGGATGGGGATGATGGCCCGGGCGCAGCCCCTCTGGAGGCGCCCGGCAGCGAGCCCCCTTCAGCTCAGCGGCACCTACCCCCGGATGCGCGTGACCTGCACCTCCTCTCGCTGTCTGGATAGACGCAGCACCACAGGGGGATTGCTGTACCTGCTCGATGTTCAGCGTTCCCCATCTCGTGTGTTTATCGTGTTCCCCTATCCATTCGCCCTCATCATAACGTTGGCATTTGTAGCACCCGGTCTTTGGTCTTTATAAATAAAATCTTACCCTTCCTTCCCATATATATTTAAAGTTCCAGTCCTTCTTTGTTAACGTTTGCAGCTGCTCCCCTCACATCTTTACAGTGCCAGAAACAGGAATGTTAATCCTTCAAATGCTGCCTTCCTGTATCTGTCCCTCCATGTCCCCCTTCTTCCTTTTCCTCCCACAGACATCTCTTCTCAAGAAGGGCCCGGGGCTCTGAGGAAACATGGGAACAAGTGGAACGGAGGAAGCGTACCTGGATCAGGTAAGGAGTCTGAGGCGGGTGCTGCATGGCGCTGGGCGTCTACGGGGGTTTATTCCCCCAAACGGTCCTTGCTCCCAAACCCCCCTTTCATTTTTAAGGCTGCTTGCGGCATTCATTTCTGCTCTCTGCCATGCTTGCCGGTCCACAGACCATCAGCTTCGTATCTGCTTCACTGCACCAGATTTGCTGGAAGGCTGAGTGTGCAAGGGACTTTGCACACTCCGTGATGTTCCCCTCGGAGCGCCTCTGCACGGAGGCACGCAGTGGCTTCTCTTTATAAAAATGTTCAACACCTCTTAGAACAAAAGGGAAAAGTTACAAATGTATCAGCTGAAAGCAGCCAAGTGGGATGCAAGTTAGCTCCTGACGGTCATGTACTCTTACCTCACCTGGTTGTTGTGTGGATAAAAGTATTTTTGGGTTGGAGCAGAAAGCCCCTGAAAATATGTCTTTACTATTTATTTCATTTCGCTCCCATGCTGCCTGTAACCCGAAGGTCCCCCGGGCAGCTTGCAAATGCTGAAAACAGCGTGTGTCTGTCAGTCCCTCAATCTGAGAAATAGCTCGCTGGTTTGCTTCTGTAAAGAAGTTCCTCGTAAGGCACAGTCACTCTGTGAATTGTTTCTCTCTTCATGCAGGATGCTGGGCGCCCAGGAGACAGGTGAGTTTGGGGCTCCTTCTGAAGGTCTCGTCTTCTGCTGAACTGGGAAAGGGCCCTGAATCCCGCCTGTCCGTTCACCCGTCCCGAAAACGTAAAGAACCTCTCAGGCTCGGTCACTTCCATTTTCCCAAGGTGGAAACCGCTGGCATTTCTGGCCGTGCCCTTTGGGCCCCGGGGCCTTCTAACCCCTGGCGTGCCGCCCCGAAGCTTCTCTGAACCTGGGTTTCTCCGGCCCCTGGCTCCACTTCTGCTTGGCTCCAGCCAAGGGCCAGACTCCCAGTAGAGAAGCATGTAGGGCTCCTAAAGCATCCTCTGCAAGGGAAGCTGGCCCGGCAGGGAGCACTTTTCTGCCACGGACCGGCAGAAGGGGAGGTTTGGGTGGGGAGGGCTCGGCGCTTCACTTCTGCCTGGGGAATTCCGAAGCAGGTGCTGCAGCCTGACAGCAATTGGCAGAAGGAGCCGCCTGAGCGGGGCGTTCACGAGCCAGACACAGAAAGAGGGGGCAAATGCTGGTCCATGGAAGGCACAAAGGGGAAGAGCCGAAAATAGGGGGTGTGGATGCTCTTTCCGCTGAGGGCCACACTCCGGGTTCCAACAGGGCCGCTTCCTGGTAGTAAAGGGAATGGGAGGGGCAAGAGCACCATGCGGGTCACAATAGCCAGCATCCCAGCATGCTTTAGTTCAGGCATCCCCTTTCCAGTCACTGAGAGTCGTTTCCACCTCTTAATAATGGGCCTGGGGGCAGGGACATGGCACAAGAGCCGGGAAACTACCAAATGCTGGAGGAGAAAGGAGCTGGGCCAGGGCAGGGGGTGTGGCTCTCTGGGGCCAGCCTGGGTCCCTCGAAGGCCACGCCTGGCCAGCCGGCCTGAGGTTTTGCACCCCTGCAGCGGGAGCCCACGCCTTTCCTTCAGGCAACCTCTTGTAGATGCATGTGGGAAGGAGAAGGAGCAGCCAGAGAAGGGTTCGAGGAGGGAAGAGGGGGCTAGGAGGCTTTGGAAGGGAACTCGGGGGGTGGGGACGGCTTGAGCAACAGTATTCTCGAATCCTTCGTCCTTTCCTTTCTCTAGCAGGGAAGGCCCCACAGTCTCCAAAATTGCATCGGTCTCGGTGGAGCAGGGACAGGTACCCAGCCGCCCCTCAGAACAAGTGTGTCTCCTTCAGGATGAGCCCCCCGGGTGCAAAGGTAAGATTTATTGAACACTTTCTGCCTGTGCCCATCAACCAAAGCTCAAATCCTAGATTTTAGTCAGTGGGCGTCCTTTCTTCCTACCCAATTCGGGTTCCAGGAGTTTTGGCAGGGCTGGTCCATGCGCAGCCTGTGAGTTACAACTCCTCCCAAGCTATTCCTTTTGGTCTCGCTGCCCAGTGGTTTTCCAGAAGAAGCAAAACCAAGCCCTGCCTCTTTTTCTTCCTGCTTGAAATGCATTTTAGGCTCCTTTGCCCCTGCTGTGCCGCCAGATTTTAGAAGCAAATTTAGCAGCCCAGCAGTGATGGAGGCATGGCCTTACGATACCCATGAAGTTGCCTTCTTCTGTTTTATGGGGACCACTCTTAAAGTCAAGGCTTCCAAACAGGCCTTGCTCTGGACTGCTAGCCTTTTATGCTTAGGGACTGTTTTTCCATCTTTTGGAAGTACATTTCAGCATAAGAACTCAACGCTGCAGTCTGAAGGGGTGCAGAGAAAAGATAGCTTTCATATCTCACTGAGAACTAGACTCTTGCATGTTGGAAAAAATAGTACATAGGAAAAAAAAATACTGAGCTGCCTCATGCCATCCCGAATTAAAGTAAGAGTTGGGGTAGTCGGGTGTGGGGCACATCCAACAATCATGGGCTGAGATTCAGAGCTGCTTCGTCATCCTTGCCTTTAACAACTTGCCTTCTCGCCACAGGTGACCTGGAATTCCATGCAGGTCAATAATCTGTCTTATCTGTCTTTGCTCTTGCCTTGTTTTGGTAGATCAAGTGTGGGTGATGGAGAAAGACGAGGAAAGAGAGGAAACAGCATCCAATAAGGACAGTTCTGAACAATTAGAGATTTCTGGGAAATTGTTTGAGGATCCAAAAAAGGAAGCTTCCCAAATTCTTGAGCAAAAAGAGAGTTTGGAAAACTTGCAAAAATTAGAAGATCAAGAAAATAGAACTCTGAATCAGGCAGTTCTTTATGGAACGGGCAACAAGAATACTGAAAATAAATGCAAGAGGCAGCTGATGTGCAGCAGGTGTGGAAAAAGCTTCCGCAACAGGTCCAGTCTCATCGCTCATAAGAGAATCCACACAGGGGAGAAACCTCACAAATGCCTGAACTGTGGGAAGACGTTTGGTAGGAAATCAACACTCAATGTTCATGAGAGAATCCACACAGAGGAGAAACCCTATGAATGCTCAGTCTGTGGGAGGAGCTTCAGGCAAACTTCAAACCTTATTGCTCACGAAAGAATCCACACAGGAGAGAAACCCTACAAATGTTCCAATTGTGGGAGGAGCTTCAGCATGAAATCAGGCCTCCTTGTCCATGAGAGAATCCACACAGGAGAGAAACCATACAAATGCCTGAGCTGTGGGAAGAGGTTTGGTAGGAAATCAATACTCATTGTGCATGAGAGAATCCACACAGAGGAGAAACCCTATGAATGCTCAGTCTGTGGGAGGAGCTTCAGCCAGACATCAAGCCTTATTGCCCATGAAAGAATCCACACAGGAGAGAAACCCTATGAATGTTCTAAGTGTGGGAACAGCTTCAGCCATCCCTCAAGCCTTATTGCCCATGAGAGAATCCACACAGGAGAGAAGCCCTACAGATGTTCCAAGTGTGGTAGGTGCTTCAGATTCAAACCAAGCCTGGTTGCCCATGAGAGAATCCACACAGGAGAGAAGCCTTTCAAGTGTTCAGACTGTGGGAAAAGCTTCAGCCTGATATCTACACTTATCACACACATGAGGACTCACAAAGGAGAAAAACCTTATACCTGTTCAGTGTGTGGGAAAGGCTTCAGCCATAACTCAAGCCTTATTATACATAAAAGAATACACACCGGGGAGAAACCATATCAGTGTGCAGAATGTGGAAGAAGTTTCAGCTGCAGTTCAAATCTTATAACACACCAGAGAATCCATGCAGAGGACAAGCCCTACAAATGTTTAAACTGTGGAAGACGTTTCAATAGCAGTTCAAATCTTATCAAGCACCACAGGATCCACTCAGAGGACAAGCCCTACGATTGTTTAGACTGTGGAAAAAGTTTCAGCTGCAGTTCAAGCCTTATTAGACATCAGAGGACACGCACAAGGAAGAAGCCATATGGATGCACCAACTTTGGGAAAAGCTTTAGTGTGCGATCAAACCTTAGTGCTCATGAGAGAATCCACACTGCTAAGAAACCTTACCAATGTGTAGACTGTCCCAAATGTGTCTACTTGAGATCCAGTCTCAATGCACACAAGAGGATACATGGAGGAGAAAAGCCGTATGACTGTGCAGACTGTGGGACGACCTTTACTTGCAGCTCAAGTCTCATTCAGAAACCCTATAACTGTGCAGACTGTGGGAAAAGTTTCATCTTGAACTCCAACCTCATTGCCCACCAGAGGACTCATACAGGAGAGAAGCCATACCAGTGCCCAGACTGTGGCAAATTCTTCAGAATGAGTTCACATTTCATTGTACACCGGAGAACCCACACAGGAGAGAAGCCATATGAATGCTCAGATTGTGGCAAAAGCTTCACTTCTAGTTCAGGCCTTATTAGGCATCACAGAACCCACACAGGAGAGAAACCCTATCAGTGCTCTGAATGTGGGAAAAGGTTCAATCAAAGGTTCAATCTTTTCAAACACCAGAAAACACACACAGGAGAGAAACCATATAAATGTGTGTACTGTGGGGAAAGTTTCTATACAAGACCAAATTTTGTTGAGCATCATAAAGCCAGTCATACAGATGCTGCAAAGAGGAAAACCCAGGGCAGCAATGTTAATCAAGACCCCCAGGCTATTAATTACCAAATAAACTATATAGGATGGGATTGATAATAATGAGCACAACTCACTAGGAATTGCTATGGCACAAGCCCTGTTGAACTTAATGGGAACTGCTTTGCAGTTTCAGCAGATGGTATTCTGAACTTTCAGTTTCGGAGCTCACAAGTCCATTTTGTGGATGAGTGCAAAAATAATAAAGTTTCTTTGATTCTGTGCCTTTATGTAACATTTAACTTTGAGGAGGTTTCCTGGCATGCAGAAACAGGCAATGTTTTAAAATTTAAGGTAGGCAAACTTTTTTCTGTCAAGGGGTATATTCTGCCCTGGGTGTTGATCTGTCAGATCAGCCATGGGTGGGTGGTGCGTTTCTTTTTCTGCCACCCCCTTTTCTCCCTCTTCCTGAGATCTGTACTGATTACGTGCACACAACCTTTTAGAATTTGTCTGTGGCTTGTACAAAATAGTCCAAGATCCATATGTGGCCCCAGGTCCAGGGTTGTCCACCCATGAACTAAAAGTTGTAAAGGAATTAACAGTCCAGCAAAAATGAATAACTAGCCCTTAAAAAGGGGGAAATACAGGCTTGTTATTTTAATGAGAAACTTATTTGAAGTTCCTAGGTGCAGTGTTGTTCTTTAATTGAATGCTTTTCAAGCACAAATTTGAAGAAGGCACTTCTCTTAGAATAGGTTAGCTTTTTTTCCCAACTGCTTGAACAATCTCTGTGAAAAGCAGTTCTTAGAAGATATGTGAGGCAGGGATGCACAAACTCTGGCCTGAGTCTGCAAGGCCCCCAGATCTGACCCACACATCCTGTAGGGCTCTGTCCATGGGGTGATGCTTGGGCTGCAAGGGCTTTTGAAAGCATTCGTCCAGAGGGCAACACCTCCGAGAGGTTGCGTGTGCACTAGCAATACAACCTTGCTGTTATTTCGAGTCTGGGTTCAGCACCTCTTATCCAGCATTGAAGTGAGGCAGGCACCTCTTAGCAGGAAGGGCAAAGGGAAAAGAGGGACTGAAAGGATGGGTCGTGCCTCCCACCGTTGGGAGTGAGAAGGGAGGAGGAGGACAGGCACAGGAAGGGGCCGGGGAATATGGGCCCTCCCGAGACTGAGATGGGAGAAGCGGGGATGCTTTGGGCAGAGACCTGTTCTCCCCTGCAGAGGAAGGCAGGACGCGCTCCAACGGAGCAAAGCTCAGGGAGCCAAGGTTCCATTTGGATGCCAGGAAGCACTTCCTGATGGTCAGGACCCCGAGGGTGTGGAACGGGCTTCCACGGGAGGTCGTTGAGGCCCCATGCGGGTGTTCAAGGATAGGCTGGACGTCCACATGGTGAGCATGTCGTGAGCGGAGCCGGCTGGTGCCGGAGGTCAGACTAGATGGCCCAGGAGGTCCCTTCTGACTCGCTCTGTTTCTATGCTAATCTCAAGCCAGACTCCCCAGGTGGACAGGCCATCTCTGGGAATAAGCAAGATGTAACTGCAGGTGGCGCAGTGGTTCAAACCGCTGTGCTGCTGGGCTGGTTGATCTAAAGGTTGCCAGTTCGAATCTGCACAACAGAGTGAGTTCCCGTTGCTCCGTCCAGCTCCTGCCAACCTTGCAGTTTGAAAGCATGCAAATGCAGGTAGGTAAAAAGGTAACCCTTCAGTGGTCAGGTAACAGCGTTCTGTGCACTTTGGTGTTTAGTCATACGAGCCACATGACCACGGAGACCATCTGCGGACAAACGCTGGCTCCCTCGGCTAGGAAACGGAGATGAGCACCGCCCCCTGGAGTCAGGCATGGCTGGACGTAACGTCAAGGGGAAACCTTTACCTTTTTACAGTTAGCAGGAGCAGGCTGGGAGCAGGGGGTTTCTCACACGCAGGCAAGATGGCACGGCTCCGGACATGTCAGCATGAGGAGGATGGCACCATTAGAGGATCAGTGAGCAGCAGGGAGGCATACTCACTTTCTAAAGGCCCCTCCTGAAGGGATGGGGCCCAGACAGGCTCATAAGGAGAGTTCCTGGAAGTAAATACTAGATTGGGTTCAACAAACTGCTCTCTCTGCATGCTCAGAGATTCATTCCAGGTGTTTGCATCTGGAAAATGCTTTGCTCCATAACATTTTGCAAAAAAGGGCTGTGGCTTTGAATCTGGAACAAGAGCTCACAACACCTGTATGTGTGGGAGAATCCACCCTCGCGGTGTAACCCAGCACATGGAGTGCAGGGGGGGAAGGGGAAATCCAGCCCCCACCCCAAAGCAGTTCTGCACCCGCTCTATAGGTTCACGGACTAGGGACCAAGCTCCTTGTTCCAGGTTGTGGAGGAGAAAATGTCCCAAACTGAAAATTAAGTCTGCAAGCCTTCCCCACGGGGGCTCATGGCAGGTCAAGGAAGCGGGAGGGTGTTTGGGTTGGGGGGAACCCTTTCTGCACCTTGGCTCCGATCCAAACTGGCAATGTTTTCATAGCAGTGAGGCCTGTCATGGGCCTTCCATACTGACCAAAAAGGATGCACGCACCAAAACGTCACATGCTCACAGGCCAAAACATGCGCACAGGCCAAACGGACAGGTTGCTTAATTCGTTCTTTGCATTTATCTGTGCACGGAGCCAAAACAGACAAGTCTTTAAATCTGTATCTAGTAGCTGCCTCTCCCTCATGATATTTGTACACTAGAGTAAGGGCAGTGGTCCAAATTCACTTGGGCCCATTACATGGGGAAAGGGTGCCCCCCCCCCCATGCTGCCAATTCTAAAGGAACAACGAACAAAAGATCCACTCAGCACAGCTCTGCATCTTTAGGTAGAAAAAAACACTTCTTTATTTATTTTATTTATTTATTAAAACAATTTTATGCCGCCCCATTCGCCGAAGCCTCGGGGCGGCTTACAACTTCTTTAACACCTAAGCAAGAAATGCTTGGAATGCCAGGAGTAAATTTATAAGACTGGGTCTTCCCCACCTCCAGTCAGTTCTAGCGTTTCCCATCACCTGATTCAAGCCCAGGGTGAGGGCAGTTTTGTGGGGCAGGTGAAGAGAACGTGCTAATGGTATAATCTGTTTATTTTCCCCATGTATAATCATTATATTTGCAATTGGCTATTTATATACTGCTGCCTTTTAACATTGGCTTTTTTTCAAAGTGCTAAATACAGTGGTACCTCGCTCACAAATGCCTTGGTTCACGAATAAACCGGGTCACGAACAAAAATTTCTGACAAATTTTGACTTGGGTCGCGAACACCACTTTGGGTGGAGACCAAGATCGCAGCCATCTCCCCCACCCCACCCCCCATCGAGTGGGGAGATGGCCACGATCCCAGTTGCTTTCATGCAGGGAAGGCGTGCCTGATCAGAGGTGCGCTCCTGCAGGAAAGGCGGGTGGAATCTCGGCCAGCTCCCCCAGGGCTCTCCTTTGCTGCGTCCACCTTTCCCGAAGCAGCACGCCTCTGATCAGGCACACCTTCCCTGCATGAAAGCAACTGGGATCGTGGCCATCTCCCCACCCCCAGCGCACCGTTCGCGTCCATCTCTCCCTCCCCCAGTGGGACCGCAATCATGCCCGTCTCTCCCCTCCACCCCCAGCACGCTGGGATGACGGGCCCCTGCGGGGAGGACAGGCGTGGTCTCGGTCGTGCTGGAGGGGGCGGGGAGACGGCTGTGATCTTTGTTGTCACTTTGCTTCACATTTTTCTGATTTGAAAGATGGTTACAGAATGGATTCACCTTATTTACACTGAACCTTATGGGGAAATTTAACTTGGCTCACGACCAATTTGGGTCACGACCAGAGTCCTGGAATGGATTAAGTTCATGACCCAAGGTACCACTGTATTTGTAATCTCCATAGTACTGTAATAAGCATCCAGGCAAAGTTAAGGATGATTTCAGAGAGACAGAGAGAGACAGAGACAGAGACAGAGACAGAGACAGAGACAGAGACAGAGACAGAGAGAGAGAGTTAAATATGTTCCGAACTATTTCCTATGGTAATTGATTAAATCTAAATTGCTTTGCTTTGGCTGGATTGCACCCATGATCTTATGTGTCAGAGACTGCAGTAAATTCTTACAATTTACTTAACATTATAGCAATGGTAAAGTTTAAATTTGGCATGAGTGGAGCTGGCTGGAGCCAGGGGTCAGACTAGATGGCCTTGGAGGCCCCTTCTGACTCACTCTGTTTCTATGTTTTATGGAGATGGTTACCAGCCAGGTTTGCCAGTTGCTGGATATAAAGTGCAAACATACATATAACAACAATATTTAGACAGAATCATAGAATTAAGACTCAGATATCTATTTATACACCATGTATCTCTGTGTTACTGCCAAGTTGATATTACATTTTATTCCATTTTATTCTGTTAGCATTCCGTGTGTGCAAACCTCTGTATTCACCACCTGTGACATTACTTTAAAACAGAATGGTAATACTTTGTGATGGCTATTGCTCGCCCCACCGCCCAGCTCCACTATTTTGTGGGTGCATTGATAGCACTGCAAAACTAATTTTTCCAAAGCTGAATAGGCTCAGGGACAGCTGGGGTGAGGAGAGATTTTGCTAAAGCAGAAGCCAAAATGGTGCTTCCTCCCCTTCCATGTACAGAGAGGGGAGTCTAGAAAGTTTTGCTTCTCAGCTGAAGCAGTGAATCCTCTAGAGACGGTCTCTCGTTACTTTCCAAAATGGCTTCTCACGCTGTGCTTTTAACGGTTGCCTTTACTGTCATATGCTGTCATCTCAGACTTATGGGGGCCCATGAATGCGTGCCATCCAAAGTGTCCTGTGGTTTTTTTCCATTTAAAAAAATATTTTCTCAAAGTACATTAAAGAAAGAGGAAGGAATAT